TGACATCCAAACTACAGCCAATGGACCAAAGAATCATAAAAAACATAAAGCATCATTATCGGAGAAGTAATTTGCGAAGAATGGATTCTGGACTTGAGGTAGATAACATAAATCTCTTAGAATCAATTGAATTACTGCATAAGTCCTAGAGAGCAGTCACACAGTCCACAATTGCAAATTGTTTCCACAGACCCGGCTTTACAAAAGGTATAAAAAGTTGTTTATTTTATTTATATGTTTCTATGATTTTTAATTATGTTATACTTTTGTCTAATAGAAATTCAAGAACAGATGGAGGAAGAACCAGTCGAAGAAGACGACAGAGTGGGGTCGATACCAGCAGTATTTTTCCCGAGAATAATACAGTTGAATTCCAACATTTTGTTGAGGTGGACTCTGATGTTATAACAACATATTATCCTACTGATGATGAAATACTGAACGATTTGAAGTTCAAAGAAATGCTAAACGACTCAAATGGGAAGGAATCGGATGTTGATGACGATGAGGAATTGCTTAAAACTACTCTTGCCCAGGCATTAGATGGTTTACTGGTTGTCCGTAAGTACATTCAAGAACAACCAGAAATTGGTGAGATTTTTTCTGCGCTATACGTTATCGAAAACTTTACAGATAGGTCAAATAATAAAAAACAATAAAATATATCTGATTTTTTAAAAATAGTTCTACTTTATTTATTACATTGTATTTTCTTTTTTTACAAACAATTTATACAGACATAGGTACATATTCATTACTTAATACTTTATAGAATATATTTTTTATAATTTTAATACAATATACATACCTACATCCATTATACATTTATTAGTAAATATATTGTACATGAATAAATAAAATTATAAAATTAAATATGTATGTATTTGTGTTTTAAAATGAAAAAAATAAATATTTTCAAAAATTTCCTAATGCTATTTTTGAAAATCTCCGAAATCAAATTTTAGTGATGAATTTGATTTTGTTAATTTACACATTAAATTGACTGTTTTATATGCATGTAAAACATTTTAAAATAGTACTCCTTAAAATTTGGTCAATAAAATTAAAATTAATGATTTAGAAACGGATTTTAAAAAAGTATTCAAACTTGGACAACTTTTTTGTTTTTGACGTTTACTCGGCTTCAAATACTACCGCACACCGCTGCCACCTATACCTACTCACTCTCAACGATTCTCAAAGGACCCTAAGTTTCACGAAATCACGACAGCGATTTTTCGATGGTAGCTGGTATTATTTTAATAGAATAATATAATAGATATAGGTATTGATATATCTTTGTGCCCTTGTAGTAATAAAGGACGAGATACAATCAGTTTCCTCCTATATTACTAACGAAATAATACACATGCGTGTGAGAGGTAGGTGCACGGTGTACTACGACATGGGAGGAAAAGTAAAACAAGAGGTTTACAATTCAAAAACGAAAAAGACGCGGAGCGTCGCTGTATTTTAAAAAAACAAGCCATTATTAAATATTCGACTCAGGTTAGTTGGTTAATAACGCCACAAGGCAAAGTGAACCAAACGTGTTCGTGAGACTCAGAAAAGAAAAACGGTAAGTTCGCAAAGAGACGATCGAGAAACGTAAAGGAAGAGTGCTTTTAGACGTATTGCGTAGCTGACGCGATATATGGTGGTGATAATGTGTTAGTACCATACACCACATCACCATGGATAATAAGAATTCATATTTTACAACTTTAGTTCCTACTATAAGCTGTAATCGATGTGTAAACCGATTCTAACTTAAATACATGAGATATACACCGACCATAAACCACGGAATAAGACACGGTCTTAGAAGAGAAGGTCCGACGACGGCTGGTACCAAATTGGTTCCCGAGCTCAAACCCCACATGCCGAATTGGTACCCGTTTGAAAAAGGTATTTTATTAAGTTGAGTCGAATTGGTTCCCGTTTGAAAAAGGTATTTTATTAAGTTGAGTCGAATTGGTTCCCGTTTAATTACGCACACTTTCCTTCTCAATTTTACAGGCTTAGGACTAACTAACTTAAAAGTAGGCTTAGTTAAAAATGTGCGTTAATGCGTGTTATAAAAAAAATGATATAATATATACAATTTTAAATCGTTGATTTGRAAGTCAACTATAGTTAAAATACAAATAATAAAATAAAACTAATAGGTACAATTATTTAAAAGCGTCGATTTGCAAATTTGAAACAAACTTTCTTTAAATATTCAATTCGCGTAATTTTCTCATTAATATAATCAGTCATACAATTTTCCAAGTACTTGTTGTTTTTTTGTTGTTTGCTRGTTAGTTTTCTAGTATTATTACTTCGAAATTTTATGTAATTTAATGTTTGAATGCTATTTAAAGTTTCCATAAAATAAAATATATTAGGGCGGGCACTTGTAAATTCTTTATTCAGCATTGAATGGAATGATTCGCAACAATTTGTAGTTCTATCGATATTTTTGTCAAATCTAGCCCAAATTTTCGGTGGAAAGATACTGTCCGACATTATATATGTATCATGGACGTAGTCAAAAAACTAATCCAATTTTGGGCAGCAAGGTTTTATGGCCATCAAATCATTATAAAAACAGTCTTCGGGTGATAATAAGGGCAGTCCAAAAAATAGTTTCAGAAGTTGCCCGATTTCTGAAGTATTATCTTTAAATTCATTGGAGAGACCAAACTGTTGAATTTTTCTCCACCATGACTGAYATAAATGGAATCTGCAACCTCTAACTGTAACTTGCTGTAGCTGTGAAGTAATTGCACTATGGATAGCTGTTTCAAAATCAACGAAAACCGTGCCAACTGTTAGATATTTTGAGACTTTATTTAATGCAAGTATGTAAGTTTCCGTAGTCTTGTTCGGGAGTAGGCTGAATACGACAGGAACATAGCTATTTTCTACCTTGATAAAAGTAGAAAATAATTGGTAAAATTGCTTAGGACAACTTTTGAATGTTCCATCGACAAATAACGTAGTGGCTTTCTTGAGTTGTTCCAAGTTCTGTGTGCATGTAAATGTAATTATATTACAGAATCGTTGTCATAAATAAAGTTTTCTCCGAGATTAGTTTTTAATGAATATTCACTGACACTTTTATGCAGTTCTTCAAGATTAGATGGTAACTTGGGAATTGTTCTTAATTTAGCAGCATACACATTTTTACGGACTCTGTTAATATCATTTTGAAGTAGTGAGTCTCTATGACTGTTTGTAGCTATCTCCTTGCGTATAATTTTAGATGGTCGCTCTGTAATAAGTTCGTCACATTTTCTTTTTAGTGAATTTGTC